TCGACATCTCAAATTAATTTGAGGCTACATTGCATAAGGAGAAGATCCATTTCTAGCTTGAATCCCTTTACACTAACTGCATAGTTATTAGAAGGTAAGGCTTTCACTGTTAGAGAAACTTTTGTGAAGCCTGAGGTTGGTAGTGGCAAGTTCTTCTGAGAAGACCAATTGCATCTTCTTTTGTAGGCTGAGATCTGCACCCATCCTCTATGTAGACATTCTTTTTCACAATTCACATGCATCAGATCAGAATTCTTTGACCTTCCTGAGTTGTCCTTCTCAGCCCATAATTAGCTACAGCAGGAAGAGAGCTGTTACTGAAAACTTATACTTTCAGTTAGTAGTCTATGATTTCATCACTGATATCATTGTTGAGATACCATTGCAACCTGAGGAAGTTTCTTTTGTCTACTCAGTGAAAGTGGAACATTTGCTGGTTGTCAGTTATGACAGCAACTAGTTCTTGTCTGAAGTGAAGCAAAACTCCTATAAGGTTGTTGTTCAGATAAGGCCTGGTGAGAAGGACTTTGCTGACGGAAAAACCTTCATATCAAGCACTTGAGTGGAAGACCACCCTAATGTGGTCTGGCTTGTGAGGATGATACATGCCAAAGCATGGGAGGTACCAACATTCCCCTTCCTTAAGAGTTTGTGAGAGATCATGCTGAGCCTGCACCAACACCTTCTGCATATACTGTAGTCAAAGTGCTTTTTCATCTCAGGCTTCTACTCAGGTACATTCTAAAGAAGTAAATCTTGCTTCTGCAAGCTGACTATTATTTGGCTTAAAATAGTAGTGACATCTGTTGTCCTGATAGAATTCCTTATTCTCCATGGTGTCTGCCAGCTCATTATCTTTAGTTGTTGCATTGAGCACTGGGGTGCCAACATTATTGTCCCACTATTGGATTAATACAATGAGTGGTATCTAGGTAACTGAGGCCGGGTAGGTGGGTATCAGCTTTGGCATATTTAGGCTCCAAGAGAAGATCATTGAGCTCTTGAAACTTTAGATTGTCTCTGCCAGATATTTTTGGGAAGCTTTGCAACCTTTTAAATAAAGCTTCCTCAATGGATTCTGTGCTGTAGAAACTATGCTTAGGTCTGTCCACAGCAGAGTTAAGACCTGCAGCAGGACTGTCAATGTAAACAGCTTTGAGTCACATTCAGATGGACCTAGCCAGTTAGTTGACTGATTATGGCTTTGAAGATAGATTTCCATCCTCACTAGTTTTCAGGTTTGTCATCAAGCTTTGTGAGACCCATCGTGATGAGTTCTTTGCAAAGCATGTATTTAACAAACTGTGACAAGTGTGTTTTCAATCTTTGGATGCACAACTGCATGCTGAAGAAAGTTACATTGGCTGGTGCACTAAATTTGAGTGACTTTGGGAGGTATGGTGGAGCAAAGGTATTCATACCTGCAGCTGTGGAGCATCGTACTTGGTCGGAGGTAATTGACTATCGCCATGGTAAGGCATGTTGTCTATTATCTGTATACCAGTGTCCACAGTTTGCTGAGGTGCAAAATTGGCGTTATGTCTATTATCTGCATACCAGGGTCTGCAGTTTGCTGAAGTGCAAAAGCCTGGTGTACTGGGGAAAGAATAGGCAGATTGTCTTGAGAGTTAGTATGTGCAGTGTACTGAATTTGGTTAAAAGATTCAGCTGCTGTGACTGGGAGCTGAAGTTTTGGGAGACCGTGCAAGAAATATCATGCATATGATGCATTTGTGTGTCTTCTGCTGTGTCGTCTTTCACTTTGGCTAGTAACTTGCACTAAAACTTTTAACCTCGCCATGGCTGTTGCATGCTCACATTATTTCTCCAAAGCTTCCATCTCTGCGCACTTGCTTGCAACTTCTTCTTCCATCTCTGCTCTTTTGCGTGCAGTTTCTACTTCCATCTCTGCTCTCTTGCGTGCAGTTTCTGCTTCCATCTCTGCTCTCTTGCGTGCAGTCTCTGCTTCCATCTCTGCTTTCATGTATGCAGGCTTCTGACTCCATCTCTCCTTTCTTGTAGGCAAAGGCTGCCTGAATTTTAGAGGCTTCAGCATCAACATGGGAGTTAATTGGTTGTTGGCTGACAATGGAAGATCTTAATTGTAGAGACTTTGCAAATCTTGAGAAGTGCCTTGTAGAGGCAGTGATGAGATTTAAGCTGGCCATAGATGGTTTTAATCTTTAGCCAGTTTAGCAGGGACTGGATGAGATTTGAACCTCTATGGGCAAGCTGATTGTACACAGTTCAATTGTTGTACGACTTGTGTGCAGCCATCATGTTGGATTTTATATGTGATTATTTGAAAACTCCCATTTTTTATATCGTACATCCCAGGACACAGGATATCTTCATATCCATTACAATAGGGATGTCCTAAAGCAAAGAACATTAGGGGAGGACAACACAGGAGCAAGCCAACAGGCCCCAAACAACTAAACCTGAACAGGTTAGAACCTCATGCAGTTGCCTGCAATACTCGCCAACCAAAGATAGTGTCTTCAAGGGTTCAAACATCCACCTAGTAAACATATGAACTGAAGACCATGCAGCAGCTTTTCAAACTTGAGCTACCAAAACCTGATAATGATTAACCCATGAAGCACAAATGCTCATGGTGGAACTTTGTCTGTCAGACCGCAAGCTGATAAATCCATGGAGAAATGGTAGAACTGGAAACTGTGTGACCCTTACTTGGGGCTTCAGGAAGAACAAAGAGGGAGTCAGACTGAGGAACTGCAGCAGTTGACTTCAGGTAACACATAGCATAAACCATACACAAAGAATAAAGAGCCTTTACTGGTATAAAAAAAAAAAAAAGAATGAAGAGTCTTACCCCCTGGTGACTGAGGCTTGCGACAGAAAAAAGGCAACACAATGTCTTGGCTGAGATGGAATGAAAAAAAAAACTCCATAAGTAGAAAGAACAGCTGAGGTCATAGCACCACTATGTCATGATGCGCCACTAGGAATGGTTCCTTATAAGAATGGGCAGCGAATTCCAATACTCTCTGTGCTGAAGTATTGGCCTTTAAACCTTGTGACAGGAGGTCAGGTTGATTGTGTGCCCACTGACAAGTTTACCATGTCAGAATAGATTGTTCTCCTGAGCCAGGCTGGTGCAATCAGAATCACTAGGATGCCTTCCATCTGAATTCTACAAAGCAAGCAAAAGCTGTAATGGTGGGAAAGCACAAAAATTATTGGGAAACAGTTCCATGGTGTCACCATAGCATGCACAGGGAATGCTGGGGGATCCCTCGTTCTGGAGGTGAATCTGACCAACTTCAAACTGAACCAGAGTACCAGAAGATCCACATCCAGGGTTCCCCACTGTCATCAGTGTACATTATTATTATTATTATTATACAGTATTTATAAAGCGCCAATAGTTCGCTCAGCGCTGTGCATTACAAAGGGGGACAGAACATGTGACAGAACAATACCAATACAATGCAAAACATGAGGGGATTGAGGGCCCTGCTCTTTGGAGCTTACAATCTAGGAGGGAGGGGGTGGTGGCACAGGAGGAGATAGCTGTGGGGGATGGAGTGGTAGGAAGAGTGGAGGAGGTCAGCAAGTTTAGCAGGGGGTGGGTGGCTTCCCTGAAGAGATTAAACACCTCTGGATGAGGAGCTTGCTCCAACCCCCCCCCCCCCTTTCCCCGAGTCAGCTGTTGACGACTGAGAAAATCCATCTGACAATTTTCCATGTCTGGAATGCAGACATTGGACAGGGTGGGAACATAAAGCCCAAGACAGGATGAGATGAGGAGTCCTCCTGAGAAGCCTGATTTCTTGTGCCTTGTTCACAATTTACAGTGGTGTTGTCTGTGCTCACCTGTCATATGTGAATGTTTTATGTGACAGGTGAGCACAGACAAACACACATGTGAAGGAAACAAGAGCAGCAAGGAGGAAATATAGAGAACTGCATTGAGGAGTACTTTGAGGAGGGAGAGATCCCTGTATCCACACAGGCTCACAGTGCAGCTTCCTCTCTACACAACTCCAGCTATACAACCACAGGCTGTTCACAAGGAGAGTATGCTGAAACCAGCTATCTGCTGAACTTTTACCCAGTTTGATTTTGCACAAGTGCACATTGGATTTACATATTGATATATTTTTTATATAGATAAAGATCACGATTGGACTTTCTCACTTTTATGTTTATGTTGATTCATTTAATTTTCACTTTTATGCTTACACCATTATTATTTATTTATTTTGCATTCATTTGGATTACATGAATAATTTACATATATGCACGTTTATGGTGGAAGTTTATGTAGATATCAGACTACCATATACTTGGAATCATGTACAGAGTTTTGTCTAATATATAGATTAAGATATTTAACAGAGCGCGGCACCATATAATTTATTATTCATTTTGTATTGATGCAAATTGCACTGCAAAGTATCGGTTTCCGGTATCGGGAGCTTTTCATGAAAGCTCTCATGAAAATACTCGGTATCGGCACCAAATCAAAAAAACATTTTGAATTTAGAATCATTTTAAAAATATGTTGAAGGACTTTTTGAATGACTTTGTAACCAAAGTTTATTGTTTTTGTTTTTTTTTTATCTGCCTATACTTCTCTTTTCACCAAATCATGGGAAAGACATTACAACACATTACAAAGCAAATGGGCTGTGCACTGTAAGTGCACTGAAAATGCAGTTGCTCTAGATCTGGGGGGAACATGCAAGGAAAATGAAAACAATTGCATTTTTGCTTGTACATAATTGGATGAAAGAAATAAGCAGAGTTTCGCCTCATTTCAGAGCTTCCCCTCGGATCTAAAGCAACTACAGTTGCAGTGCACAGTATATTTACATTTAGTAAATCAACCCCAATGTTTATAGCACAGCAAAAATCTGAATGATGCTAAAGAATGATAACTGTAAAAAAATGTAATCAAAGTACATTGTTTATAACAAAAGTTTTAAGACACTATAATGTACATCATCTATACATATGGTTGTTTTTTTTAGGTGTGAGAAGTATGTCAATATAACAGTGGCTGTTCCTAAAGACTCAGGACTGTACGATTATGGAGGAAATCTTATCGACAAACCAGCTCTAACGAAGGAAATAGATTCTACTACACCACCATCAGACCTGTCACTTGAGCCACCAACTCTGGGACAAGTCATGAAAGCTACTGAAGACCTGCTGAAGATCATGATGACAATAAGTCCAGGCACCTCACCCAACCAGTCCAAAGTGGATGACAGCACCACCGACAAGAAGAAGAAAGATCAAAGAAAGAAGAAAGAAAGGAAGACCAAAAAGGGAAAGGGTCTTAAAGGTAAAAAAAAAATCAGTCTAAAAAGGAGAACATTGACTCTCCAGCCAAAGACATACTAGGTGAGAACACGGTCAAGGATGAGAAGCCTGTGCCAGTGAACCAGCCACTTGACGTCTTGGATGTAGAACCTAAGCAGGATGCATTCAATGATGTCCTAAATGATGAGCCCATCAGAAACAATGATGCTAAAACATCTACATCAATAACACCTACCTACAAAAAGGAAGAACTGAAAGCTAAGGTGACATCACCTCCACTAGTATCTAGACCTTGCACAAGGAAACCCCAAAGGAAAAACAAGCAGGAACGAAAGGGGAGACGTGAGAGGAAGAAGAAACCTAAGACAGAGTCTTGTGGTCCTTCAAACGCACAGTAAACAGTGGGGTTTTTTTTTAATCCTTAAACTGCTATAATTCAGTATACAAATGTTGGTGAATTGGCTAAATTCCAGAGAAGTGTGCAAATATAATGAAATTAACCACTTTGCTGCTAAATATTTTGACATAATCAATACATTTTTTTTCCTGCATCGAATAAGAGTCAATACAATCTGCTATTTGTGCTTTCTGTAACATAAACTACATTTATGCCAATGAGCTGGAACTGGATTCCTGTATGAATTGGTGTTACTAGATGTTGGATAGTTGTCATGTATTTCCTTCCTTTTATCTTAAGGGTACATTTACACTGCTGGGTTTTACATGTGTTACTGGTAACTGCTATGGATGTATCAAACACGATTTGTTAACACACTGCACTAAAGCCCTCAGAGGTGATTGTACGCAACATTGCGTTGTAGGAGTGTGTGTCACGTACAGGAAGGAGTATATTACACTCAATCACCAATGACAGCCAGGAACAACTCAGCATGTTGTAAATACCTAATATACAGTAAATACACCACTAAAATAAATGTTAAATCTTGCTTGAACTAAAACTGATGTCATGGAATTTTTAATATGGATGCATCTGATTTTCACAATGAATTCATACACAAAAATCACAAAGCAAAAATGTCTCCAGGTCAGATATATCCACCGAAGGACCTCCCATTAACATTATAAAAAATATATTTTAAAAATTGATGGTTGCATTTTTAAGTGTTTTTTTTTTTGTACTTGCTAAAAAAAATCCTTATATGTACTCCCTGGTTTGTAATGTTTGTCCCTGTCTGTACTGTGTTCTTCATTATCAGCTCTAAACTAGATTCAAACACTGTCTGTTCTAACAAAGGGTTAACAATTCAAAAAACACCCTCCTCCAATGTATGTTAATGAGATATAGCCAGTGTCTGTGTGGGGACCGGACACTTTAAAGCCGGCCATACATGGATTGAAATTCGGCTGGTTCAGCAAGGACCGGCTGAATTTTGATCCATGTATGGGCAAGGGAGGTTGTACAGGAGCTGTTCTACTGATACTTCTGTACAACAACCCTGTCAGATTTTCCCTGCTCCATCTTAACACACAGTTGAATGAAAGCTCGCCAAAACAAAAATAAAGACCCTCTTGACACAGATGTGAACACTAGAGACCAACCATAAAAAAAAAAAGTCCTTAACTGACCACAAATTTTCAAACTAGTTTGAGGCATGACAACAAGAAGCAGATGAACTATGGAAACAAATCAGAATGTACCTGGTACTTAACCATAAACTCTTCTATGAGAAGGGCAACACACTCTGTTGTTAGCTCGATCCTTGAAAGCCAAATAGTCACTTATGACAGTAGAATCTATGCATATGAATGTAAGGTGATGCACTTGGGGCTTAACAATATGCATGCATCATACATACTAGGGGGGGTACAACTGGGGGAATCAATGGTGGAGAAGGATCTGGAAGTTCTGGTAGATCACAAGCTTAATAATAGTAGCAATGCCAAGCTGCGGTTTCTAAAGCGAGCAAAATCCTCTCTTGTATTAAAAGAGGTATAGACTCCAGAGAAAGAGATATCATTCTACCCCTGTACAAATCATTAGTAACACCTCATCTGAAATATGCAGTTCAGTTTTGGGCACCAATTCCCAAAAAGAACATTTGGGAACTTGAGAAAGTACAGAGAAGGGCAATCAAACTGATAAGAGGCATGGAGGAGCTCAGCTATGAGGAAAGATTAGAGGAACTGAATTTATTCTCTTTTGAGAAGAGATTAAGGGGGATATGATCAACATGTATAAATACATCAGTGGTTTATATAGTGAACTCGGTGTAGAGCTATTCACCCTGAGGTCATCACAGAGGACAAGGGGGCACTCTTTACATCTGGAGGAAAATAAATGTAATCTCCAAACACCGAAAGGTTTCTTCACAGTGAGAGCTGTGAAAATGTAGAATAGACTCCCTCAAGAGTTGGTTCTGGCCAGCTCAGTGGATTGCTTCAATAAAGGCCTGGATTCTTTCTTAGTTACACAGAATCAGGGGTGGACTGACAACTCATGGGGCCCCCGGGCAATAGGGGATCATGGGGCCCCTGTGTCCTTGCCCAAACTCAAAAAGCATATGAAAAAGGTACCAGGGGCATCTCATGGGGCCCCCTACTGACCCCGGGCCATCGGGCAGTGCCCGAGTTTCCAAATGGTCAGTCCGCCCCTGCACAGAATATAACTGGATACTAACATATATAGGTAAAGTTTATCCAGGGAATATCCGATTGCCTCTCAGGGGATCAGGAACAAATTTTTTTCCCTATAGGAGCAAATTGGATCGTGCGTTGGTGGGGTTTTTTTTTTGCCTTCCTCTGGATCAACTGTGGGTGTAGGATTATAACTTTTTTTTTCTATGGTTGAACTGGATGGTCTTTTTTTCAGCCAGACTAACTATGTGGCAGATGGCACAATATACAGCATAAATTATGAGATAGCCCTGAAATTCTGGGCATATTATCAGAAATGTTACAACTTTCACATGTATCCTCTGCTTGAACAAGCCCTATACAACAGAACACCATAGACAATTTCCTAAAACACAGCCTCCAGCACTAAATGACCCCTTTAAACACACACACACCCTCTCTCTCCAGCCCCTTGACCAGAAAGGGATGTTCAAGTGTAATAAATAAGTCAACAGGATTAAGGCTGTGGGGGGGTTCTGTCTTCTGGAGCTCTTGTGATGGCAGAGGGAGGCATTAACATCTGGAGCTCTAGAAGCCAGCCTGAAAAACTCCCATAGCTGGCATTTCCACATCTGGTTACTAGGACGTTGCTTTCGCACTCCAGCTATTGATGCTTGCCTTCACCATCACAAGAACATGCTAGGATTCATGCCACACATGCACTATCTACCCAGTTGCCACTGCACTGAGCTCAGCACCATGAAAACAGGGGAGAGAATGTACAGTGTTTGATTCAGAGAGAGCGCTCTCTTGCGATGGCAGAGGAGGGCATCAACGGCTGGAGCGCCATAGCAACATCCTAGCAACAGGATGGGGGAATGCCGGCTGTGGGAGATTTTCAGGCAGGTCCCTTGAACTGCAACTACCTGGCAGGTCAGGGAAGTCAGCTATGGAAGTTTTTGGGACAGGCTTCTGGAGGGGTACATAATTCAATATTATTCATAGTAACACAGTTAGTTTTTATCTACAGGTCAGATTTGTGGTAAAATGGACCGACCCTTGAAGTAAAGAACACACTCTGCACCCCACCAGTCCTGGGGTCTGCAGGGTAAGATGTGGCCTGAAAGAACGCCGACAATCAGTGTACCATGTATACACATAAGGAATACAAATCATTTCAGTGTATTTAGCTGTTTGCCTGGAGCTTGACTTTAAGGACTTAACCAAAATGAAATACCACAGCATAGTAAATGTTCCTTCCCCTCCCCCTGACCCATCCGACTCCCCACCGACAGGTGCAGCGCTCTCCTGCTCGCTACTTCCACATACCAGGGACCAGTGACAGGCCATCCAAGATGTCACCTCGTAGTGTTGTGCAGTATCTTTGGAGAAAGAAAGAGCTTCCTGAGTAGGAGAAAGTGTCCTCGATGGGAACAGCCAGTGTTAACAGTAATGATGCAGTGTGGGCGTTGTTAGAAGGGCAGAGGGAGTAAAGCAGCATACTGTTGTGCCCACCCTCTCCTCTGCAGTCTATTCCCTGTGGGATCTGGGCTTGTGCTGCACGTGGCTGGGCACCCTCTTAATGTGGCACCCGGGGCACATGCCCCTGTCCTGGATTTGGCCCTTTATCAAACGACTGAAATCATGAAAAAGCTAAGGTCCTGATGGCCTCTCTTTCAGCATTATAAATGTTTCAGTTAGATACTTGCACCCAACTATTTTATAGCCTTTTTCTCTTTGCAAAACAGAGATTTACCTCTGCCACATTCACCACAATTTTACATAGGGGTGATACTAAAAGGGAAGGACATCACAAAATGCAATTACGGGCCCATCTTATTGCTTAATCTGTATGTCAAATTATAAGTGAAGATATCGATAAACTGTCTTTTCCTCCACTGCTACCTCTCTGGATCAGTCTAGCCCAAGCTGGATTTTCCCATGGCCAAGAGCATTAAAGCATTAAACTGGAGCTACTGGGCAGTAAAATCTAATGTTGATAAATGGTAAGGTATTCAATAGGTACCTGGGATAATATGGATGTGATTTTTTTATGCCTCTGTCTTATGCCCATGGCGTGCAACAGAATATTAGCCCTTTATACTAAGCCACAGGCCAGAATTAAGGTCAATGACCACCTACTGGAAGCCATCCATATTCAAAACAATCAGTCAGGGATGTCTTTTCTTGTCCATCATCTTTGTATTGAAGCTGGAACTATTTTTATGAAAATTAATGGATGACTCCGATAGTCCAGGCTTCCGACTCCGTGCATTCGCTGAAGAGTTACTATTCTTCCCGATGTCCCCAAATACCATACTGCCCAAATTAAAGTCTGCAGACTTTTGTATGCATTATCTAAAACTTGCATAACTCAATTTTGCAAGTGTATGGACCTTCTGTAGTGCATAGGGAACTGTTAACCAAAATTTGTTTAAAAACAAATAAACAAAATCTGTATTGATAGAAAACACAATAAAATCAGATTGCTGAATAAAAAGCCATCCTATATAACTTTACCATGACATAGTTGTCCAATTTCCTCAAATAAACAAATTCACCTTAGACTTGAAGCTACAAAAACATAAATCATCAAATGACACCTTTAGTACCTCTAGTACAGCTTTTCTCATCCGGGGTGCCTTTAGGTTTCTTCAGGGGTGCCTTGGCAAAATGTCTAAAAATTGGCCAAAACTTGTATACAAGCCAGCGGGTGGAACAAGCCTGCCTTTTAGTTACACAAAGCTACAGGTTTTCATTGTGCACCTTTACGACTTTCTAGCCACAGGTATCCTGACAACCCGTGGCATCATCAATTAATAAG